ATTGAGTTTAGGAACTTGAATGCCTAGTACAAAAAAGTAGTAGGCCATGGTCTTAGTGGTTTACAGTCACTTTGCCCCATTTCCATGTGGCCCCTAACCACTTCACCCCATCTCCACCATGTCCGCTTCGCCCCATCCCTACTTTGCCCCATTTCCACTTCGTCCCGATTTCACTTTGCTGTCTGTGCTCGAGTGTGTTTCGAGCCTCTTCAAAAATGGTCGAGAGGGGAGTTCCACAAACGACATGTAGTTATTATAGAAAACTCTACGGCATTTAATTAATGTTGACTGTGTTGTCCATTATGGTGAATTATATGGATGAACTAGCATCGGGGTTATTTCTCATCCTCTTCAAGTTTATTTCAAAGCAACACACACAATTCTGTTGATATCATTCTGGTAATTTTCGATGCATCCAGACAGCTGTATCCGGGCGATCGGATAAAGCTCGGTGCACAGGAAATTTTGTGGAAACATACTCGCTTCAAGTACGAGCAAAACAACCTAAAATTAAACTGATGAACACAGAAAATACACACATAGACAAAATACTAAGAATTAAGGGGAAGAAATCTTGCAACAGCGATGTTTTTTTCAATGCGTGACGGATCACGTACATGTACGCTCACTGCGGCATGAATGGACTGGTTGCTACACTTCATCACGTATTCTCTTACATGGGTGGGGCGCCATGTGAACCAGCGCTTTGCGCACATGTTTTTACCACAGCGACAACGGAACACAAAGAAACCTTTTTTTTTCTAACTTGCCAATAAAATCTTTAGGGTCTCGCCGAAAAATTGGGGTCTGGCGGTCATGAAATCGGAAGCATTGTTTGGCCTTTGAATTAGTGGGTAAAGGCCGAAATAAAAACAGATCGAAATGTTTTACACACTTTTATAATTTATAAGGTAATAAACATAATGTAATATTCTACTTTTACAAAAGATTCTAATATTTTATTTAACCTTTACTGACAACAACTGCGTGATGTCAACCCAACAGAATCTGGAACCCATCGATTGCAGGTAGATCAATCTTTGCAAGGTTGTACAATCTCGTTTTCAAGAAAGCACGGCGAGTGAAAACAAAACGTGTATGAACAAGGAGACCTTGGTACAAAATCACCGGACGTGAAAGGTTGTCAGTAAAATTTGTTTTTTACCCATCTCCAGGTGACTTTTCCAAAATATTAATTGAGGAAAACAAAGGTAAAATTCCAACATGAGTATTTCATGAGTTGGTTTCAATAAAGAATTATTCTTCGAAAAATTATGGACCCAATGTAAAATCCCCATAGTCAGACCGCGCAAGGTTTCTGGAAACTCGCTGCGTGACCTTTTACAACATGTACTTTCAGGCTCTATTAAAAGTAACATGTAGTAGGCCTATATGAATTATTTATAATTTACAATTAAAATGCTGATATCCATGGACGAACTTCATACAATGCTATTATCACGGGAAAGCCCGAGGTTTCTCATTTTTACATATTTTAAGACAAAAGAGTTGAGGTCAAGTTTCAGCAGCAACATCAATGGGTAGGGTACCCCACAAACTGGAAAATCTAACAAACAATGAATTATGAAATGCTTGTGTATGTGAGGAGAAATAAATAAATTTGACTCTGTTGAGATGCCTCTTGTTGATTATGGACAAGTTCTCAATGAATAAACAAACTTTTGGCAATGAAAACTACTGACAGGACATTTATCCTGTTAAGAGTTACAGACAACACTAATTTCCCCTTAAAATGTTCTGTCTGAAAATTGATTACATGTCCTAAAAGTGAAATTTAGCTTAAAAAGAAATTGCACAGCAAATCTTTGATCAACTGGAAGGTGAAATATTCAGTTCAATTACATGTATGTTACATTACATTACATTTATTTTCTCCTCTTGGCAAAATACAGATACAATGTAAAAGATAAGCCTCTACAGATGGCAAAATCTGAAAAAGCGAAGCTTGTGTCAGGCATGCCATTACAAGAAACAAACAAGACAATACAAAAGAAACAACAGAATACAAACAGGGAAGAATTACATATGTGCGAAATGAGAATCAAATAAAAATAATGATGAATATTCAATTATTTAAATTGCTCAGCCTTACAAAAATAACACCAGGTCTGTGTGAGTGAAATCACCATTTATTTTCAACTCCAAGCTCATTCTTAACTTAAAATTTGGAGTGTTTTGCGGAAATGCTCAAATGCCACTTTGTGATTATGTGTAAAATTAGGTAAAAGTTTTGACCATTTTTGAACTGTTTTGGTAAGATAGTACTTTAATACTCTACCACATGTTATTTGGAAAAATCTGTTTGCGTGGCAGTGATTGAAATAAAAACACTGATTATTTGCATCATAAAATGAATGACATATGCATTATAAAATCAATAATTGGCATATTTCCTTGTAACTTAATAACAAATTGTGTCAATTGTGTCTCACATCTTCAATTCACATCCCCTTACCAGCATAAGCTTCCAGAGTACTTTGACCCCTGGTGGAAGATTGCTACAAGACTCCCAGAGCTCATTGAAGATGGGACACTGCGAGATGAAGTTACCAAGGTAAAAGTGGAAATGGATTCATTTATTTCTGCAAACTGTTGGTTTCATTTTTGCACCTGTCATTATTTTCTGCTCACGCAAGGCTTTCGTTTTACTCGTGGATCATCTCTTTATTTTCTTTTTTAAACAAAGAAACTGACTGAACTCTGTCAGTTCTTCCTATTTTCAACAGAATACTGATTTGCCGCAACGGGCAAAGTAATAGACAATTTGAAGGTGTGTGAAGTATTTAGGGTTCTTAACCCCTTCGCACCGGGAGGCGGCTATAGCCGCCGTAAAAATGGAGATCCTCTGCCCGCTTTTCAGCTATTATTCTCGGCCCACGCTCGAGCGAGCACGGTGAAAGAAGGCAGACCCTGGCTCTTGTGTATATATGGAAATTGGTCTTTGTGTGTAGCCCAGAAATGAAAAGACCGATTTTGCATCATAATCACCAGCTTCACCATAGTCCCCACTTTGAAAAGAGGCAACAGGAATGTGGAAGCTTGAGTAGAGCCGCATGCCACTGAACAATCAGCCTTTTCACCGTGTAATTCAAAGCGTGGAGAGCACGCTGGGCCACAAACCGAGAATTTGCGGTTTGGCAGGTGGCCTTCGTGGCCAAGCGAGGCTAGAATTCTTGGAGTCGGCTTCTGGAAAGAAATTCACGCCGAGAAGGAGTTAAACTGGTTCCTGTTAGTCTCTCACTGCAGTTTATTTCAGGAGTTTTCATGAAAACTGTAGCCTGTTTGAATGATCCCTGGTTGCCTATTGGGGGGCTTTGCACCGTTGCTAACGTTGCAGGAATTGATATGGCCATGGTCCCTGTGATCCTTGAGTTTAGACCAGTGCCCCTTGAGCAAAAACATCGGCAATTTGGCAAGTACTGGCAATTGAGTTAGATACATGTAGTTAAGTTTGTAGAGTAATAGTACTTTAAACTTTGAACTGGCCACTTTTCGACAACTGTCATGTGACTTGTGTAATCGTGCATTTTATTCATCTGTGCACCCATCTACCCATTGAAATGTGACATATCTCAGCCTTATTGGCATTAAAAAAAAGCCTCGAGTTCAATGTGCCAAAGGTACATGTATGCTTGGTCAATTTTAGGCTCTTTCACTTGTTTTTGTTTCATTTAATTTTTAAAAATAATTGTCTACTTTATGTATAATGCACCGTGACCATCTCTTACTGGCAGATACCAATGCCATGAACACGTGTAGGTTTCCATCGTTATTATTTATTCCCATTGTTGTTAAGTGTAGTACCAAACCGAGACACAGTTATGTGAAAGGAAATTCACGTTTAATAATGTACAAAATTGCAGCTTAATTTAGGTGGATGCAAACGGAAAACTGTTTGATGCGTGAAATGCGTGAGATGACAGTAGACGATTCCAGCGAGATTTGTCTGGACACTCCAGACTGCTGTCCCCCCATGCCAGCATGCATCAGTTTTGCACTGAGTGATTATCAAGGAACAGTAGCTCTTTATCACAATGCTTACTGCCATTGGTGCGGGTCGTGTGGGTGACCAGCAGAAAAGGAGTGTAGTGGAAAAGGGAAAGGGTGGGGAGGGGGGAGAAGTCTCCTTCCTGAAGAAACTTGGCTAGTGCTGCCACCAGACGGAATAACTAAAAGCCTAAACCTCGGAGTTCCAGCTCTCCAGTGTAGCAATCCGGATCAAAATATAAGAACAATTATCAAGTTACCAAGGATAAATGACAAGAGATGGAGGTAAAATAAGAGCAGTCAAGAATCAGGAACTGCGGCCGAAAACACTCAAGACGATTTAATTCAGGTCCGCAACTCCAAAATAAATGATAACAGTTGCGTCTGCAACTCCAGTACAGGCTGTAACTTTTTTATCCGCAACCTCAATATTTGAGCACAATTTAGAACTAATATTTACACTCTTCATTCAAAAGGGCAATTATTTACACTTTGTATTTACAATGCAACAAATTGTCTTACCCCAACTTGTGTGCTTATCTGAGAAATCTCCAAATAGTAAATAAGCTAAAGACTCCTGATTAGGAAAAGGTAAAGCAGACACTAAAGTAAAGTGTGGGACACGATATCATTTGAACCTCTTCACTATTAAAGCACACAGGCTACTGCTTGTCTGGGTCAAGGTATCATCTAAACCTGTCCAATCAGCTCGCAAGCCAGAGCCCAGGCATCATTTAAGGCCCTCTGCCTTCCAGAAAAATAAACTACAGCCCTGGTCCTAATAGACTCGTAATTCCAAATAAATCTCCACTTTCAATATGATACAGTGACAGGGCAGGAACTTTACTGTTAAAAGGGCAAGGCAGTTTCTCATTTGCAAAGGGCACTTGTATCAGAAAATCAACTTGTCTATGAGGCAAAGACCAGGGGCATCTAGGCAGATACCTCTGATGCCTCCGTGAAGGGGCATCTAGGCAGATACCTCTGGTGCCTCCGTGAAGGGGCATTTAGGCAGATACCTCTGATGCCTCCGTGAAGTTTCTGCCCTACAGTGAAATCAGTTAATAACTTACATGTAATTACAAATTAACTCTCTACTCTCCAGTACTCAACGAAGTAAGTAGCTCTCCAACTCAATGCAGCTCCCCAGGACACAAATCTATGCACAGTTCCCTTTTACACAACAAAGCAGTGCTCCCCAGTTCATGTATATGGTCTTGCTATGATCCAGTTATCTCTGTTGATTTCCAGCTTTGCTCCCCATTTTATTTGGTGCACTCACCTCAACTTGGCTTAGGTCAGCTCCCCAAGCTCACTTCAGAAAACAGCAGCACAATACTTGTTTGGAGGACCAACATCAACCAAATCACCTAACTCACCAAACATCTGTCGTATTTATACACTGTCAAGTGTGCGCCTTGTGTAATAAATAATATTGAGTTGTCGTGTACACTGCGCGAGCCGCGCCCAAAATTGGAAAATCACGGTGAGCTAAGTTCTCTCAAAGCAACAGTACTTCCAAAGTTCTGACCATTATAGAGTGCCGAAGTGAGTATGTCATATGCACAAGTACGTGTATATGTCTGTAAAAGGCATAAGTGCGAGAACCAGTGTGTGAACCAACATGCGTGCGTACTCCATTCATTTGTGTGGTATCTACTGCCTCTAAATGACGTCACACTTCGGTACTCTATACAACGCAGTCTTGTTCAAAGGGCCAATTATTAAACTCTCGACTTCTTCCAGGTCCTAGACATTGAATGAATTACACACACAGTCCAAAAAAAGGCCATTGTCTGAAGTTCTGAATGAAAGTAAATAATACGGTAATTATGGCAGAAATGTGCCCAATTTCACCTGAAAAAGCACTTGGATGCATTTTTTCATAATAGGATTACCATGGTTACTGGATTTGTCCACACGTGTACATGTACTGTGTCAATGATGGCTCGAAAAAAAATTGCCTTGTCGTGGTAGCCTACGTGTGTGAATCACTCGTATTGAACCTAATTGATTTCCATCATGCTTAATTTGACAAAACTTTTCTGTGTTAGATGCCATTCCTGGATTACCAACAACTGGACGGAGAACCAGAGTGGCGTCTTGGACATGTTGTCCTGTCTGCCATAACACAGACCTATGTTTGGGTGGCTGGCGAAAAGCACATACCACGGGTGAGTTGATGAAAAGAATTACTTCAGCACAACACAAACTCATAATTTGAGACCGTGTTAACACCTGTGATGAGAATGTGTTTAAACCATCAAATCTGAAATGGCATACATGGAAGTTCACTTTAGTCAGTCATTTTGACATCTTTATGTCAAAATGGTGGAGTCACACATAAGGAAGGCACAACACCAAGCATTATTAGTGATGTCTTCTGGTGTTGTACCCAGTACATGTACTTTTAAATGTGATGCCCCATGATCTTGTTTCCAATCAGTCAGTTACACATGTACATGTACATTTCATTGGTTGTGCAGTCAACCAGTTAATAGCACTGATTTTATTAGCCCTGGATACTGCTTGGGTTTAGTCGAAATCAACATACCTCCAGAAACTTCCTAGTCCAGGGCTGTAGTGAAACTGTTTTTTGGAACCTAAGTTTGACTACTGACATCCCATACACTATCTGTGTTAGTCCCGTAAGCAAAAAAAGCATCAAAGCTGAAATACTCTGACTTTGACTACAAAAATCATTGATGAAATTATGCTGCTTCTACTGTAGCTTAAGGAGAAATGGCCCAAAAATTCAGTTTGATCACAAACCAAGTTTCAATCCAGACAGTCTTAAAGTGGCACAAAACCAGTGGCAGCTGTGGGATAACAGTCGAGTATTGCTCCAATGCAGAGAGTTCACTCTTTTCCATTGTCACCTATGCAACTTCTTTTTATACAGTCTCTTCCAAAGAACCTCGCAGTTCCATTCTGGGAGATCTCCAAACTTCTTGGCATCACTCCAAGCTTTAGTCAGTTCAATGGAGCACAGGATAATTGGATGCTTGTTGACCCAAATGGCCCAATAGTTGTAGAGTGAGTTTTTAACTACAACAATAGCAACAAATTGCTAAATGATGTCATTCATTCATTGATTGATTGAAATGATGAATTTAATGGATTGATCTCTTCTTCTGTTTATTGACCAAATGTGATTTATTGATTGATGACGGTGGAAGGATTAACAGATTGTGCCACAAGGTCAACCAATACCACAACGATCAATCAATCTTGTAGATTGACCAGATATCTGCTCAGTTGGATGAAAGGTTTCTTTATCAGCAGAACGTTTAGAGAGTAAAATTGATAGGTCTTGTTTCATTGCTGTATTGATTGTTGAATTCACATGAACATGTAGGTGCCAATATATGCATTGATTAGAGGAAGTGTCCCCGCTTGATTTCAGTAATCTCAAGCCCATTGTCAACTTAGTTGATGGAGATGACCAGGCGTGGTTCTTTATGGTGAGTGCACAGGTCGAGATAGATTGTGGTCCTGCATTGTGCGGCATCGTTGAAGCTCAGCAGGTAGGGGGATTCAAATGAGTAGAGAATTAAGTAAAGAATATTCATCAGTGAAGAAGTGACATTCACATTTGGCATCTCCTCTGAGTCATCAGAGAAGAGGATTAGTTGTTTATTCACTTCATTATCTCATACATACCCTCTGCAATGTCAGTCTCGTTTGATGTTTTGCTTCTTGTTTGACAGGCAGTTAAAGATATGGATGTAAACGCCTACATAGTGGCCCTGGAAAAGGTAGAAAAAGCTATCAGGAAAATGAAAGTCTCGCTGAGTAGAATGAGAGGTATGTTATGAATGTAGCTTGTGCTCATAATTTTGAAAATGGATTCACCACACCTTAGAGAAGTAGTCTTTTAATCATTTTGGTACTGAGGGGAGGGTGTGTGAATGCACATTCTTTCAGGCATTCAAAGGTAAGGTGGTAACACCACCTGTTTTCAGTTTATGCTGTTATCTGATGTTTGAATTGTGTTTGTTGTGCCTCGCAGAAAGGTGTCGGCCGTGGGTATTCTACAATGTCTTACGTCCTAATTTGGCGGGGTAAGATACCATAGTTTTCAGGGTTGAGCTTTTTCAGGATTTTTCCTGACTGCATTCTTTTTTCATAAGGATTTTCCTGATTGCAGGATTTTTTCAAACAAACTCTTTTAAAACCTGGAAGTCTTCAGTCCACGTTTATGGTGTTCTTACATGTAAGAGTTGCTATAGAACATAAGAAATGGGTATTTTAAGGAGTGCCTTCAAGCAGACTTAGACCATACATTGCTCTGGGGCCGGGATCAGACCTTTTTGGTTTTTTTTTTGTGGACGTGTCATTTTCCTCCAACATGTCCAATCTCGTCGCTGAGTTCTAGTCGCCTGTGCCAAATGCATAAACATTCTGTGAACCGCTCCAACTGACTTTTAGTGACCTTTGAACAGGCAGGCGTTGATATCTGTTCATGTATTCAATAATCAGCCTTGTCTAGTTCCTAGCCCCATAGAGGATTTGCAGTAACATGATTTTTTATACTTGGCATTTAATTTACACAGGTGTGCACGGAAACTCGCGCACCTTGGAAGTCTCAACATTCTGGCATGCATGAAACTGCCAATAGAAATGCACAGATTCAAAAATGCACACACCTCCATGGACACGGTACGCTTCCTGAAATGCCTTTGCCCGTCATGTTACGTCACATGAAAGACGTCTACATTGATGAAGGCACTGAGGTCCTGACTGTCTACTTTTGTACTTGACAGCAGCAATCATACAGCAGGCGAGGAAATTTTGTGCATGCAAATGAAACAGTGTTTTTTATGGGCAGATATAAATCCTGACAAAGCAGTGTTAGATGGGTGTGGGGCTTATACGATACCTCCTTACCGCTTTACTTTTTTTTTGGGTCTTTTTGTACATTTAGGTGGGATAGCCCTGCATTTAAGGCTAAGGGTTGGAAAGGGCTGATCTACGAAGGGGTCAGTCCAGACCCACTGTGTGTAAGTACTGTACATGTGGTGAAAAACATTCAGGTGAAAATTTTATTTCCCTTCTTATCTTTTGATTGAAGGTTTTGCCAGTGCACATCATCCATATGCTGTGTTGTTGAGCATGGCACTTTATCCATTTTGCTCGCTGTCACTTATAGGAGAATGCACACTAACCACATTGAGTCCCGACGGTGCACCTTGTGATTTGTGACATTTTCAGGTGGGAATGAATCCTCCCCAAGTGAAAAAAAAAGTGAAATCAAGACATGTTATTACAGCAGAAATAAGGTTTACATGTAGCTGGCAGTGTTGTTGTCGAGACCACTTATAGACCTTCACAAGACCACACGAAACCAGCACAACCTCCAGTCTGAATTCAAGTCACAAGCTATTCAAATGAACTGCGACAAACGCATTCCTTTGTCATTGTTCACCCTGTTACTTCTGACTGGTCTTGTCCATGGTCTTGTGTCTGGTCTTGTGTCGTGTCTTGCGATGGTCTTGACTACAGCACTGATTGCTGGAAATATTCATTGGTTTGACTGACTACAAAACTTCTTTTCTTCCTGCTTAGTATGGTGGCGGAAGTGCTGCTCAGAGTGTAACACTCCCCTCTCTTGATGCAGGATTAGGTATCATCCATCAGCCAGAAGAAAGTAAGCAGTTTATGTCATTGAACACATAAAGCATACGATTAGTGTGGTTTTCACTGGGATGGAGTGTTGGTCAGTCATCTAAGAGGTTAGATGCAACAGCTGATAAAACCCATCCACCTAATCAGTAATTCTCCTGTGAATGAAAATTCTTTTAAATTAATTCTTTTAAGTAAGACTAATTTCAGAAATACCGAAGGTACAATGCACTCCACTTTTTTGCATAAAGAAATGGGCTGTGTGTCTTTTTCTAACTGATTTTCTCAAAAGACGAATTTTTTTTCTCCCTCTCTTTTTTTCCCATCTGGACCCTTCAGATGCATCCAGCACTTTCACTGTTGGTTGAAATTTGTGTATGTAAACCCCCAAAACCAAAGACCCAAACCATTAGTGCAGTCAAAAGAGTTGAAAAAGCAGAAAGCAGTTTCTATTTTTCCCGTTTAACCTGCTCCATTTATGATTCCTGCCTCTTGAAAATGAACTGCTTCAAATTTTGTTCTTTTGTGGGGTCGTTTTTGTGTCTGAAAAGAAAAAGCCTGCAGCAATTTTCAGAAGCAAATGTTGCCACAGCACCGTGAATTCATCAAAGCATTGGCCAATGGGCCCTCCATACGACACTTTGGTAAGTAAAACAGGCAGCGGTATACACAGAGTGTAATAAAGCAAAATCAAATGTTACCAGGTCACTCATTGGAGATTTGGAATGGTGTTATGCTGGTCAGGGGGCTGAATCCTAATTTTGTCAATTTTCTGGCCCAATGCCTAAATTCCATGATGGTCAATTAATTACTAAGTTTTGTTTTTTTTTGTGATTTCAACTGACATCACCCTTGATAGAGTTTTTGTGTGTTCCTTTATTTCCAGCAACTTTTTCCAAGAATTCCAGAGCGCTCGGAGTCTACAATGCTTGTCTGCAGGCAGTTACTGACTTCCGTTCCTTTCATCTTAAAATAGTAACAGAGTAAGACATTTGACAGTGAATTCCAGTTCATTTTTGGCATGTGATGTCCAATCAAATAGTTGTGCTGCAGATTCAAAAAAGTTGACCACAATTGAACTCCTGTGAATTTCGCTTCAAATTTCGTGACGTCGAATTCGCTTCGCTTTTACACTGCAAGAAATTGCTGAGTTTTTATCTGTAGCCCACCCTCAAGGTTGTGCCAACTTAGAGTAGTTAACGCAGAATGGAGTTTCACAGCAGGACCCTTCAGCCGTGATTGGCTGGAGAACTCGTAAACCTGCAACAATCCGTGATGGTCTCATGGAGGTCTCATTGGTTGCAGCATTTTGCCAGTGGATATCGGTAGCAGCGATTGATGTGTGTATGCGTCCTCACTCTTTGTTGGTTTGGGGGTTCACTCAGCAGCGTATCCAGCTTCTGGTGTTGGGGGGGGAACTTCAAAAGTGAATGCAGCTTTGGTCTCATTCAACATGATGTTGGGGGGAGAAAAAAAAGCAGATGGTGTTGTTCTATTAGAGTTTGGGTGCCAACAGTTGATAAATAAATATACATGTACCAATCTCTTTCTTACTCACCTATGAAGTATTATTTGCCCCCCCCCAAAAAAAAATTTGTCATGGGTTAAGCCCCCCCCCCTTATATGCCACTGGGTTGACTGCGTATTATATCCTGACTCCACAGGCGCACAGCCTGTGGATGTAACAAATGTCACTTTTAGGGCAAAGTTTGGGGGTATTCATAAGACAATGCCCAAGTAAGAAATAAAGATAGGGCNGTAGGGTACACTTGAAAGTCAGTGTTTGGGGTGCTTACGTTCACTTTAAATGTGGCCAAGTGTATGCCCTTTCCCTAGACAAGAGCGTATGTGAAGTAACGCTGGTGTGGAGTTGTTCATTGTGTGATGGAGGCGTTGTGCTAGCCATTGCTCAGAATGACTTTCTTGGATAGTGCTTTTGTGCAGTGGATGGTATACAGTTGGCACAGCCCTGCTGGAGTCTGCTTGGAATGTGTTTGTGATTTGGATCTCTGACATAATAGGATTTTTCCTTAATTTGGATAAGAAATTTTGCTGACCCCAAAGTAGAGAGACCAAAGGTTACAACTATTTCAGGTACCTTGTCCTCTGACTAATTTACAAAAATGTATCAGAGGGTTTCGTTGAAAGGCATTGGATACTTTTTCGTTGGCATTCAGAGGTCGTATTAAATAACCCTCCCCTGGCCCCCAGCTAACACTACTAAAAGTATGATTTTTTTTGCCTTTGCAGATACATCATTATTCCGTCACATCAGGAGGACAGCAATCAAAAGTATTCTCGCCAGGCTGCATTGGGAACTGGAGGAACAGGTAGCTCTGATTGACTGATCCACTTTTGCCAATTTCGTTCATTTGTTATTTTTCACAAGTGGCATGTAATGTGAGATTAATTAACGGAGCTTGGCAAGTATGCGTGCAGTTACAGCAAAGAATTTAGATCAGTTCTTGCAGACAGTTTTTCCTGAAGATCAAGTCAGAGTAAAATCTCTTTAAACATTGTATTGCATCTCTTGCAGGATTTATGACATTTTTGAAAAATTTGAGAACCTCCGTCATGAGTGCCTTCTACAGAATCGACGAGGGAACGGAGATTAACTAAGAAGTATCTGCCCTTCTGGTTCCTGCTTTCCCCAAACGACGTTAACCACTTCGTGCCGGGGTACGCGGTTTCGGGGACATAGGCATTTACACGAAGCCGGGGAGCCCGAAGCCAGACAAAAGAGCTTTGCCTTGTAACAATAGACCGTACTCAGAACAAAAGACTGATGAGCTGCTGGGAATTGCCAACATTTTGTCTGTTGTCAATAGTGGAGGAAATCTGTCATTATTTTGAAAGATTATACCACTGTTTGTGGCATTCAGTACGAGTGGATTGCAACCGGGGACTGAAGCACTCCAGCACTCCCGTGATAAGCGATACATCGCCACTGCACACTAATCTGGCCCCTTTTGAAAAGACGCCAGCAGTGCACTGTGCTGGTTTCGGGAACAAAAGAAGCTTACATAACACTGTACAATCTGGGCTCTTTTTACAAGGCAGCAGGCCTGGCTGAAATACGCCGGCGTCAATGAATGTTGTCTGTCAGATTAGAGTCGCCACCAGAGAGTTGTTTGTGTGGGTGTAAACGTCCAGTAAATGAAGTTATGAATTTTTAAAGAGTTTTGAAAACAAAAAATATCAAAAATTACCTGGCCCAGCAGAATCAGCATGGATAAATGGGCCCGACACGAAGTGGTTAACAAACAGGTCCAGTGGTATCTGATTTTAAGGAAGTACTAACACCCAGTCTGCAGCCGATTTAATGAAACTTGGTGTAACTTTGAACCATGCATAAGCACCACAAATTTGTGCCGTAGTTGTGCAATGCATTTAGTTATACGTTCTATTTCTTGAAAAGTTGGGTTGCTGTGCAACCTCTTTATTAGATTAAATTTCTTGAACGACAACGGCTTTTACGATGGCTGTTCCTTTGCAATATCACTGCAGTCATCAAACAGTTGTTGAATTACGTCCAGCCGCCATTTAAAAAAGGTTTCATCTTGTCCTAATCAGAAGTGGACAGAAAAGTGTTGTTTATTTTCTTGAATAAGCCCTGTTTAGTCCAGCAGTGATGAGACTTAACCATACACGAGTCATATCATTCATATTCACTTTGTTCAGCATAACTTATGTCACCTAAATGACTCGTAAGTTATGCCGTAATTTGTTATGCAACTCACTAATCGCTCTTAATTTGTTGCAAAACATATTGTTACGCTCCCACAAACTGTTCCATTTTATGCATGTAGATTATAGTGTACATGCTACTACACACACCACTTACTCCACAGCGAGCACGCAATGACCATCTACACGAAGATTATATGGATTGTACACAGCGCATTGCATTCCACGCGCAACCCCATTGCTCTATGCTGCAACATGCCCTTGAACCTTAACTCCGAAGCACACTTCCAACTTAGTCATTTTCCCCCAAATCTTCCTCGAAGTCGATCCTACTTTCAGTCGCACATATAACCCGTACATTCGACCCACACAGACCCCCAACTCGTACCGTATGTGTCCCACCAAACCACACACCGAAAGCCTGTGTCTGGTCACGGCACAGCGAGGTCAATTACCTCCGCTCACCCTCAGTTTTACCCCGTAAGAATTACGTGTAGATTTCCTAGCCATCCAGAGACTAAGTGTTGTACACAACCCAATAAACCGAGAAAGGCTCACCCTTTCCGTTCCCTCGTTGACCAAGTCCCCCGTAGCTCACCCATGAACAGCCTTTCACCCTCCCGCTCCCAAACTTCTTGAACCTTATTTGCTCTCCAGAAACTAACTCTGCGAAGACCAAGTGTGTACAAAATCCCCATAGACTTTTCTTCCCATAGACTTTCTACATGTATGAATTATTCATAACCACCTCAATCCAGTGCTCCCATTGGCTAAGACGTGGACCCAAAAGTCTATATAAAGCGACCAGCTCCAGCGGTCAGCATCGATCATTCCCGAGCGGGCAGCTTTGGAGAAACAACTCCCTGACCGTTCGTGAGTGTATAGCTCCGATATGAACAACCTTTCTATCACTCCCGAATAAATAGCTCAGATTTGGACGAGCAGTACTTGAGTAATATCCAGCCTTACTAGTAGCAGTTGCTCATTGTAAATATGAAGATGTGAATAATTCTTCGGAATAAAACAGTAGTGTGTGTATAAGTCAGTCCAATGACTCTCATTATTTATGATAACGACTCCCTACCCCGAGAGAGGTTACAATATGCAATGAAAAGTGGCGTAAGTGACGTTATGCCATTTGCATGAAGTTTCATGAAATCTGCTGTCATTCTCAATGTGATCCAGCCTTTGGATTCATCTTTTATGTATTTCTTCGTATTCCTCAAGTGTTTAATTTGTAACTACACTAATGGCTATGAAAAACAGTAGAACATTTTTTGCTGTTGGCAATTGCTTCTGCAGTTTTTGTAAATTTGATCAAATGAATGTGAATATGGTATACATTTGTGTGCATTGAGCCAAAAAACTGTGTCACCTGGATGTGTTTCTGCATGACTTTAGTGAGCAGGTATTGCCAAGCATGATCAGTACCAAAGATCGTATAGCGCCGAAGGCGCAAGAGGGATAACTCTGCCCAAAAGGTGTAATTACCATGGGCGCCATTTGAGCAAGCGATACGCCTGCGCAGTTTACGGTAATGCAGGCTCACCAGGTGCAAGTGCCTGCCGTGGCGCCTGCGCCTATGCATTAATGTGCATTGCGCATGCGCATCACTTGCTCAAATGGTGCCCATGTGATTTCAACGTTTTATGTGTATTCACGGTGAAGTTCGCCATCTTACGCCGCTTCGCAGCGCTATACGATCTTTGATCAGGACTGAAACCAGAAAACAGTTCCAAAAGGCAAAACAGATTCACATTCCCACCCTTCAGTTGTACTAAAAATATATGACTCTTGCATATGTCAGTACATTAGATTTGTGCCCATTTAGTTGAAAATGTGCTATTTGTTGTGACTTGGTGTGATACTTGGGAAGTGTACAAGTGTGCAGCTTTGCCAGTTCAATCCAGTTTATAACCATATTTTGTTTTTGTAAATGTACCAAAAACAATTTTTGTGCTTTCAGTGAATTATTGTGCATTTATAGTGAACAATTTTAGCTCAAACCAGCAAAAATATCGTCCAAGTCGGAAGTAGAAAGGATTTTTTTAACGTTTAGGGGTTTTTTTGGGGGGGTGGGCTAATAGTCTTTTTGATACTAAAGTAAATTGTTACTTGGAGGGTCTGATTTTCACAGAATCATTGCAATGTTTAAAATGTGGAATCTTTTGTACAAGAAAAATCTCCATATACAATATGCAGTACGTTTAGTTGGTGTGTGCTTATGCTTGTGAGGTTGATTTAAGACTTTGATACACTATTTTTACTTAAAAGTTTGCATTATTTGGTACTTTATGCGCAATTTTTTATCAGTACTTTGTGAACTTTGGTAATTTATTAAACTCGTGCACATTTTCCTAATTGATATATATATATATTTATATATATATGCAGTGGTAATATTTTGTATGCAGCCTTTTCTACCCCTCCACATTTTTTTAAAGAATTGAACATGGTTGTGTGATGAAATGTGATGATTTTAAAGTATATTGGGAAATTTGGGAATTCTATTGAGTCTGATTAAAATTATGTTGACAAAAGCATTCTATCTCGGCAGCTGATTTATTTCAGTTTCAAGAATATCTTGTGCGTGACTGTACAGCATCAGAAATAAATAGGTTGGCCTTATGGATCTGATTCGTGGCGCTAGTTTTGTGCTTCATGTACTTATTCCTTTTCATACAGTGTCACTGTTGAACCTAGGCCCGTGGCTAGGAGATCCCACCTACCCAACCAGGTTTTTTTTTTCTCCTACACCTCCATCACTCGGATCAGTGCACCTTGATTAAATGTTTTCGGTCACAGAACATTAAGCAGGACAGACTATCAGTTTTCCTTTTTTCTTTCTCTAATTTCTTGGGGAGGGGACAAGTCTTAAGTGAGGGGACCCATGGCATCCTGTGCCCCCCTCCCCACACCACTGCATCACGCATGAGCTTGGAAACCTGTTTTGATCAAGGAGTAAAACTTGTTGGGGGATACAACCCTTATATTGAAACCAAGACGTTTAAATTATTGGATATTGAAATTCAGAGGATCAAGGCAATGAAAATTTCTTAGAATCTTAAGTTCTCGTGCATGTTAAACTTTTTCAATATATGAAAACTGTTTTAAACTTTGTTGAGGTTGAGTGAACTGTTACGTGCACTTTTTAATCATTCAAAACTGGCCAAGCTTTCCCAGACAAGTGAGGGCGCTGTTAGCGTGTTGTAAATCCATGTTTTCATGTTGAAATTTTGAATCCCAAATTTGCTCTTTAATAATCTGAGATAGGGTTTTCCGCCATACCTTCATGCCTCGTGGAAGCTTCATTCAGAAATGTCGGACGGTACTATTGATCTCCATTATCAATGGACTTTACTTCCCATGATTATGAGTTCCCAGCTGGACCAAGAGAGGGCTCAATTTTCCTAGCAACGGGAGCTCCTTGGTCAGAACCAAAGATTGTATAGCGCCGCGCTATACAATCTTTGGTCAGAACCAGCGCTGCGAAGCGGCATGGTCAGAATAGCACTTCGTTGATTCACAAACGACAATGACAGGGCTGAATTCGGGTGGCTTGTTCCCGTATGTTCACGAGCAGCTCGATTTGTTGTTCGTGGGTCGGCCGCTCGACCTCCGGGAACAAATAACCGGTTATCACAAGCAACATGCAACATGGCGGCCACGTACGTTGTTCGAGAGTTAAGGTTTGGATGGGCTGAATTCTTTTCTATATAAACAGGAACGTTCATTTCTGTGTTACGGAAAATAATTAATGTTAATTTTGCAAAACTTCTCTTTGTCTATATGGTCTATGGCTTTGGAAGCCATCTCTATACTTCTTGCACCTGTTAAAAAAACAAAATCTCACGAGCTTTTCCGTGTGTTCCTGTAAAACCCTGACCAGGAGGTGGTGTGTGATCCTGTTCGAGCGCGAGAGCAAGAAACCCGTGTCAAGACAGGCCGCCCGAACTCGACCTAATGGCGTACGCGTTGCGGTCGCGCATGGCCGCTGCGGCAGATAGGGACGGGGACCACTCCAGAAGATGGAGATGAACAATTACGAAATTATATTTTATGGTTTCCCTACGGTGAGAGTTAAATCAAAACGGATTAAAATACTTTAAATTTTACGATTTATGAGGACATAGACTTAAAGTTATAATTTGCCTTTACGAAAGATTCTAAAGTTTAACTTTGCTGACAAGAACTGCGTCAGGTCAACTTGACTGAACGGCCCGAGAACCTATCGACCGAAGGTAGGTAAATCTTTGCAGCGTTGTACAATCTCGTTATTACGGAAATGTCTTACCGCCACACATACAACAATATTTTTTTCACGTAAGTATGTGTAAACTATCACGTATGTACGTGATAATTTCACATTCGCAAGTGATACTTTCACGTACAGACTTGTTAGTTCTCACGTACGTATGTTATAGCTTCATATACCTTCCTCCATGCATATTCTATAGGCCCTACGTATGTATAACTGTCATCTACATGTACTTACGTAATGCTTTTACGTACGTATGTAAAACTAACGCATGTAGTGCATGAAAAAATATTTTATGTGTGGCGGTAATACATTTTTAAGTTCGTTTTCACGTAAACAAATGAATCGAATAAAAACAAAAGTGCATTGACAAAGAGACCTAGAAATTAGTAGAAACGATATTGCTGGAAGTGAAAGGTTGTTAAAATTCATTTTTTAAACCCATATCCAGGTAACTTTTCCAAAATATTACTTGAGGAACACAAAGGTAAAATTCCAACACGAGTGTTCCTTGGGATGGTTTCAGTTAGACAGAGCTTCAATTTAAGCGTGAACTAAAAGAATTCCAGACCAACCACTGTTAATACATCCATTATAACTGAATACGTTTTTATGCACATCCATCGATCAGTACACACACACGACCGAAAATGCCCGACCTTTCAACGAAATCAGAATATTTATTAAACAAAGGAAGGAATAGATCTCATTCACGAGAAAGCCATTGTCGATCGTGTTCCCTGAAAATCTATCATATTCAATGTAGTCTGTTAAATGGTGATACGAAGTCACTTCAAACCTCAGAAAACAACATAATGGACAAATAACAACAACAACAACAAACAAAACAAAAAACGCAGGCTAGCATATTACGACATTTTGACTGGGCAAATATACATACAGATGTACTCTTAATTACTAGGGGAAAGACGGGTTAACCAAAATTTTGGGTTGCAAGGGTTGTATAGCTTATCTTATGTAAAAAGTGGCGCTTATTCCAAAAAAGCACTCTTGTTGACCCCACGTACAACATTTTTGAGATATTTGCAATTTTTTACCCAAAAATACCAGATTGTTTTTACCAACTTTGGTATTTGAACCGTATAATGGGTTATAAAAACACCAATGGAACATAATATGACTAATGATTATTAGGCCAAAAAGGGTTTGAAGACAAAACTAAATGCAAATTTGGCAGAAACAGAGATTTTGGTTAATATACCAAATATAAAAATGGCGTACAAATAAGTTGGTCAATGAAGCTACTTTTAGTAACATCATTTTTTGGGAAATGGACATTTTTCGTGAAAATTGGCATTTGACTCAAAGATAGTTTTGGTGGAGGGAGTTATTTAGGACTCACTACCGATTTTTTTTTTACATAAGATAAGACTGTCACAAGTTTGAATTCACATTTCTAAATTTTTGTCAAATTTAGTTACAAAATCTTATTTTGGGGCAAACTGGCATCTTAAAAATTATGGAAGTGGAGGTCACTGCCTTTTTTGGAATCAGCATCAATTCTTATCTAAGATAGGACTGTTGCAACATTAAAATTTACAATTCTGAAGTTTTTACCAAAAAGAAACTGGCATTTTGAGGCAAAAATTGACAAATATCTCAAAAATGTCGTACGTGGGGTCAGTAAGAGTGGTTTGAATCAGCACCACTTTTTACATAAGATAAACGATACAAACCTTTGCTCCCAAAATATCTTATTTAGCTGATCTATATCCTAGAGTAAACCCTTGAGATAGCA